AATTGGAATTATCATAAAATCTTCAGAGAAACAAGTCTTTTTAGTKATATATAATCCAGAAATCAGCAAATTAAAACACGATGCACCTTCATATAAAATAGGAATGATGTAATTTATAGTAACTCTAACCATATGTAACATACATATTCAAACATGCACAAGAACTAATGATCAAATTTAGTGATGCAAAAAGAAATAGAATGAGAATCATATTTATCATTTTAATCCCTTTATTAAATCAAAAGTAAATGATCATATAATCATTTATTTGATAAGGTTAAAAAGTCTCTTTCTTATCAGTCACCATTATTTTGATATATTGATCAACAAAATTGCATTTGAGACCAAAAAATGAGGTCTTTCAAATAAGGAGGCAGATTCATTGCTCAGCAAATGATGTATTGTGTGTTGAAAATGCAAAACTTCAAAACAGAAATCATTAAGGTACTATGAAAAATCTGCATAATAATAAACTGCTATAAAGCACAAACCACACAGAAAATATAATGGAAGACCTATTTTTATTTATGTATCTTTAGTTTTAGGTGGACACATTATTTTGTTTTTATGTGCTGCTGAGGATCGAACCCATTGCCTTATGCATGCTAGGCAAGCACTCTATCACTGAGCCACAACCCCAGCCCTGGAAGACCTATTTTTGTAATGGCAACAATAAAATTCATAGGAATAAACTAAGTATCAGTGTGTAAACGCTACAAAAAGAAACTTTCACACTTGGGAATTTAAACAACACATGAAAATATATGCCACTAAATTTGATAGAGAAATTCAGTAGCATCAATTTGTCAATTATGTATTTGACAATATCCTAATAAAGTACAAAGTGGGCATACTTAAAAAAAGAAAAGGAACTTATGACACTTCATTTATTGAAGAGAAAAATGTCCAGTAGAACCTGAGTATTTTAGAATTTAAAAATCTCAAAGGCTTCTATGGCACATACCTGTCATCCCAGCTACTGGGCAGGAAAATCTCTTGAGGTCAACCTGGACAAAAACGTGAGACCCTGACACACATACACACACACACACACACACACACACACACACACGCACAAGTCGATGAATCTTCCAAACCAAAAGCTGCAACATGAAGAGGAAAGTAGTAGCATTTGAATTAATGTATCAAAGATGTATGTTGAAAAGGTTCGTTAATTGTCACATTTGTTGGAATTGATTTTATGATAAAGATGAAAAAATAATTGGGATTATTTAACAAAAGTTGTAGAGTGAGTTCAGAAGTCATCTAGAAAACAAGTATGTGGGATATGTAGATTTTATACACCATTATAGATAGCACAGCAAAATTTCAAATATAAATATGAAACAAAAATGTACAGCAACAACATAGGATATTATGTTAAAGTCTTATAGTCAAGAATGCCTTTCTATGACATATTTGGAACAAATGTTTAAAAAATTTAGAATATCCATAGCATGTAATTGCATGTAGCTTAATGTGGGCCATACTTTGTTCCAATATATAGTATCTCATTTAATTATCCCAATCATCCTAATCATACCTTGTAGAAGCTGAGAGACCAAGACAAGATATGCCCATGGCTATAAGGTTAATGGCAATCCATCAAACACCAGGGTCTGACTTCTTAGCCACTACATCATCTTACGAATATAACCACCTTAAAATAAACCTTACAAATTTGACATGAGCAATCTCAGAGCAAAAAAATCAAGCTAGCAAATACAAAACCAAAAAGAGAAAACCCAAAATTTGTAAAATGTATATTTATACGGATGTATACATACATAACTTTATAAGTGACTACACATAAGAATATGGACAAGTATGTGAGTATGTCTGTGTGTGTGTRTGTGTATTCGTGCAGAMCCCAAAACTGTCAGTTTTTGATAGTACATTTGATTCCTTTAGAAGTGTGAGTTTTGTGAAGATGCAACTATATGGTTGAGGAAWCTCCAGTGAGAAACATCACAGGGATATTTGGATTAAATGATTTAAACAATTATTAATAATTTAAACAGTGATTGATAGGTTTTAATCATTTCAAGGACAAAACTGGATCCATGGGGGGCTGGGGTTGTTGCTCAGTGATAGAGCACTTGCCTAGCATGTGTGAGGCACTGGGTTAGATTCTCAGCACCACATATAAATWAATTAATTAATTAATTCCATCATTGACTAATAAAAATTTTTAAAAAATTAAAAAAAATCTGGATCCAGGGCACCCACAGATATAGATATTGTTTTACTGATAAGGCTCAGAACTATCTGGTATTGCCATGTAATATTAAAATAATAAATTTGAGTACAAAGATACCTAGGTCTTTGTATTCATTTTTATTCTGTATTCATCTGACTCCCTAAAAGTGAGGGGTTTTTTTGCAGTGTCTTAGAAAGTTAAAAGCATTTTAAATTTGTTTTCACAGAATTACATAGCCTCAAAATATACAAAGAAATAACAAAACTGATGTTCAAGATCCTACAATCTCAGCATATATTTTTAACTTATCATATACATTCACTTACTTTAAAAGCAGTAAGGGTAGAGATGATTAGAATTACAGTGAAAACCATGAATTTAATTGTCATATTTAGTGCCCTGCACCCACCAAATGTTTCAAATCATTTCATTAGTTAGATAGCAGGATACCATAAAATATGTTGAGCAGGTAGCAGGGAATGTGCAGAAACGTCTATAGGATGATCTTATTTGACATAACACAGAGAGCAGTGTTCAATTATTGTTCTCATTAACTAGATCAGAAAATGGGCAGAAATAAGTAATTTATACATGGACAGGCCCATATCCAAAAAGTGGCATTTTAATCTGAGTTGTCTAATCCAGAACACTTGAGTTGACTGCCTCCTCCCATCATCCATCTCTTTTGTTCTAGAATGTGGGAAGAGTTGGGCAGAGAGTTCCCCTGACTGCACAAAAGTCCAAGTCCAAAGTGTTCTCTAAGACTCAAGGCAAATTCTCAGCATTAACCCCTGCAAAAATCAAAAGCAAGTTAAATATATCCATTATATAAAGACACAGATTATACATTTTTATTTCAAATGGAGAATTGGGGGCTAGAGACAAAGGATGGGCCCAAAGCAAGACCAAAATCCAGCTGAGCAAACAAGTCTTGTAGCACCATATCCAGCAGCTGGTGTCATGGTATTGTGATGTTCTCTCCAAAGGGCTTGTGCACCCCTATGGCTTTGCTGGTTGCAGCGCACAAATCCTCTCTTTTGTCTTGTCTTTGCTCAATTCCTGCACTTTCCTTGGCAGACATTTCATTGTACTGGAATTTCTTAATCCTGGGCTTCTCCTCTGCAGCTTCAGCTTCCTCCTCACRTCTCCAGGCTTTGCTCTCACAAGGTGTGCCTTCAGAGACTCCAGCCCTGCTTCACTTTGCCTGGTCTCCTTTGAAATCTTGGAGGAAGGCTTCATGACACCCTAACTGCAGCATGTTGCATTCCTGCGAACCAGCACCACATGGTTGATGCCAAGATCTGCCACCATCTCCACCAGTAGCCAAGCTTCCAGGGGCCATGGCTGCAGCAGCTTCTGAATCCCTGCATGGGTTAGCACAGTGAAACACTTCCTAGGCCCCAATGGTGAAACACTTTCTAGTGCACAAGCAGGGTACCTCACTGGTCTCTTCTCAGGGGAACTTTTACTTTTACATCCTTGATTCTGCAATGGGCAAGGTCAATTTCTGAGATGCCCTCAGACTATCTTATTGTCTCTGGGGAAAGTCTTTAGCATTTCTTTAGTGGCTATAATGTCTTAACCACACATTCATTAACCCAAATTGTAATCAGAGTTCTCTGACCAAACTGCAAGTTTCTCAAATCATTCTGCTTTTATACTTTGCTTTCTTATTCCTGATTAGCAGGAAAAACTTGGTTTAACACCACCACCARTATCCATGCCACCGCCTAAATACTGTGCTATCTAGAAATTTCTTCCATATATAAGAAGTCCACCACATTTAAATTTAGTTTCACAGAAAATGTCAAGACCTAGTCAAGATGCAGACAACTTCTTAGGCAGTATGTAACATGAATGTCTTCTAATCCAATTYCCAGTAGAGTTCTCCTCCAGTGAAATCGCATTAACCCTGTCTTTACCATTCACAGCTATGTTGGCATTCTGTTCCTTTGAGGTCCTACCAGAATTGGCCATTAAGCATCTTGTAGAACAATCTAAAGATTTTCAATCTTCATCTCTAAACTTTGCAAAATTCCTCCCATAAACTCCAAAAAGCTCCAAGAGCTTCTTGACCATGTGGTCAACTTAGTCACAGCAATGACCTCTAGGTGCCAGTTTCTGTTTTGGTCACCTTTTTTTTTTTGTCTTTGTGACCAAAAGACATGACAAGAACAACTTCAGAGGAGGAAAAGTTTATTTGAGGCTCACAGTTTCAGAGGTCTCTATCCACAGCAGCTGGCTCAAATTGTCTGGGCCCAAGGTGAAGCAGAATATCATGACAGAAGAGTGGAGGAAAGCAGCTTAGATCCTAGCACCAAGGAAGCACAAAATATATATCCTAAAGGCACACCCCAATCCCCAGCCATRCTCTACCTGCCATTAGTTTCTACCCTCTCAGGATTAATGCACATGCACGGATTAGGTTAAAACTATCCTTACCCAAATATCTCATTTTGAAACTTTGTTTTATTTCATACATGAGCTTTTGGGGGACACCTAATTTCTAAATCATAATACCTACCAAAAACTACTTGGTTAAAATATATGTTCTTTCATTGTAGAAAATGAAACAAGGGCTGAGCATCCCTGAGTTTCTGGAAAAAAAAAAAAAAACCTGCTGGACTCTTCAAATCTTATCATCCATCTCATCTGTCTCTAGAGGGGCCACTTGTTCTACTGCCTACAGTAGGCCTAATTCCTCACATTTGTGCAACAACTTTCTTCTTGCTAAGCACCTTTTTTTCCCCTGGGTCAGTGGTTCAGCCTCTGTAATTGTGGCTTTGCTTCTTTCTTCCAGCATTGTTCATTTCAACGTGGTCACCCAAATCGTTAACAAGGAGTGGTAGTCTGATTCTCTGAGGAAGCAGACACCAAGACAGTGTATGCAATAATTTTATTTGGGAGTGTTTACATGAGAGAAAATGTTCAGGAAGGCTTGGAAACACTGCAAACCACAAGACAAATCTGACATGAGTGAAGAATAAATATATAAGGAAAGCAAGATTGAAGCATCCTGGACGTATGCATTGTGATGGAAGTTCAGCAAGGCCATCCATGTATTGCTAAGCCATGATATCCTTTTATTGGAGTCCTCCATCTGTCATAAATAGGCCTAGTCAGACTCAGTCATAGCTGGGAACAGGCCATGAGAAATATGACTACGGCACAAATATCAAAGATTTTAGATCACTGTAGCTAGTGCCCTTGGTGAATTAAACTTCTTGTAGATGATATGACCATCTAATGAACCAGAAAGTCTTAAATGTTCCACCTGTGCTGCTATTCACGGTGATATTATGGAGGCTGAGAAATTCCATGATCTTCTGTCTAAAAACTGAAGACCCACAAGCTTGTTGGTATAGTTCCAGTCCAAGTGCAAGGGATGGAGAACCAGGAAAACCAATGATACCAGTTGCAGTCTGATGTCCCCGTATGAATACAGGCAGGGAAAGAATATTATCTTTTACCTTGCCTTTCTTCTAATAAGACTTCTCTCAGCTGGATCCAATAAGGCCTGCACCTATTTGGGATGGGCAATCTGTTTTACTTTGTTGACACATCAAATATTAATCTCTTCAAGAAACATCCTTATAGACATATCCAGTAAAATATTTACCAAATACCTGAACACCCCATGGGGAAATCAGGATAACACCTAAAATTAACAATCACGAGATCACCGCATCAACTTGCCACTCTCCTACCCATTTCCTTAAACCACAATTAATCTCTAAATGAAGACAATAAGTCATGCTCCACCTAATATGATACAGCTACCCTACTGTACATACAACTGAAAATGCAGCAGTCCATTCCCCAGAAGAGAAGGGGAAAGCCCTCAGGTGATGTTTACTTTTTTCCATGGTACCCTTTGACTTAAATTCTGTAAAGTAAAACTGGTAATACATAAATACTATRGTAATAAGTCACTACATTTTGTGTTCATAATTAAACATTTAAGAGATGGGATGTCATAATTCATTCACACTAATGCTGACCTAGCATTCAACTTGACCTGTGCTTGGCTTGTCAAACTTAGCCTACATATTTTCAGGCATTTCTCATTTTTATGTTCTAGATAGAAAAGGCCATATACCCTGAATGGCTTTACCTCTTTACTTCTGCTTTAAGCCTGGTGAATACAATACTGTAACCCCTGAATGCCACACTATTGCTCTTGATCTCCCCAAATTAACCAGTGTAACCTTGTTGGAAACTCACCTACATAACACTCTGAGCCCCAATAAAGTCTTCAGATCATAGGATTCTCCCTGTCCCTCTTGCTCTGCAGTTGCTGTTGAACACATGTTCCAAACAGACCCCTCTTTTCTGCTCTAAGATACCCTGACCCCGTTTCTTTGATATCTATAAGTAATGTTTTGCCCGTTCCATCTGAGTATCCCTAATTGTGCAGCAGTTGACCACACCAAGCCATACTTAAGTAGCTCACTTAATAAATCACAAGCAATATTGTCAGTTAAGGATGATGCAGTTATTGTCATGAGGGATGCCCTGGAATTCCTTCTGACTGCTCTTGGCTAACTTTCTAACCACAGTAACTAAGACTGGGTGGCCTGCTAAGGTTGGGTCATACTGCTCTGCACTTCTGGGTGGTACCTTATTGAGTTCTGCCAAGACTCCTACTCTAATTTGTGGATTTTTGAAAATAGAGTCCGTTGTTCCCCAGAGTCCATTTGCCAACCCAAATAGAAACCCAAATAACTCTTATTAGAGATCTTGGGCAAAGCAAAAGTGAAAATGTAAAGCATTCTTAAAATGTTATGTTGTCATGGTATCCATGTGAATATCATACAAGATAAAGGCAATCACCCCTGACAGTTTCTAGTTCTCTGCCCCCTATCAGTTTCTCAGTGTGGTTGATCCAAGTATTTATTTTGTACAAACTTCCTATGGAACAACTAGATACAGCCTACTTGCCCCACTGGCCTCTACACCACTTGTGGACAATACAGATATGGCATGATGACTACCTTTCAGTCTCACCATGATCTCCTGGGAATTGTGCTTGATTTTTGTCAGCCAACTGATTAACGATACCCACAGAAAACCTGCTTGTATAATATCCTGGAATCAAATAAAGGCTTTGACCCACAGCCCCTCCTTTTCCTCACGCTGGTTGACTCAACGTGTCTGGACAGCTCCTCCTTCCTTGGCCTTATTGAGCATGCTGCCCTCTTCTCTCTGGGATCCGTAAGTAATAAATTCTGCTTCTGTTATTTCATGTGTTTTGTTTACAGCCTTATTTCTGTATTACTTGAACAACATACTCAACACTAACTCCTGATCAAGGCTTTCTTGGAGAATGGCTTTCTTGGAGAATGGCTATCTTGGTAGGAATAGAATGGACATAGATCATAAAAGAACCACATGCGCGCATGTACGCGTGCGCACACATACACACACACACACACACACACACAAAGTGATATGTGTCTATGGGAGATACATGGGTAGCTGGTCAGGCACTTAAGCTGCCTTCCAGAATATAGTATTTTATGACAGGTACACTATAAACATCCACAGCCAAATCTCCTATAACTCTGTGAGGATTGGACTAGAATCATGGCCACTCTCCAGAGGGAGAATCAAGACCAAATTATAGGAAATTCACAATAGATAAGGGGGCTAGTTTGTTGTTCACATGTTTTTAATATGGATCAGAATTATTACTAACCAATATCAGCTAAAAGAGGCTAATTATGGCTTATACCCTGTCATTTATGCCTCCTTAAGGAGGGTATCATTGCTCCTACCCTTTAATAGTCCATCTGGCCTGTAGTAAAAGACTCTACAAATGAGTGATGATTAACCGTGGACTATCATAGTTGAAAAGCTGAGTTAATAAGGGCTCCAACTTCACCACCAGGTGCAGTGGTGCACACCTGTAATCCCAGCAGTTCAGGAGGCTGAGGCAGGAGGATGGAGAGTTCAAAGCCAGCTTCAGAAACTTAATGAGGCCCTAAACAACTCAATGAGACCCTGTCTCTAAATAAAATATTAAAAATGCCTAGGGATGTTGCTAGTGGTTAAACACCCTTGGGTTCAATCCCTAGTACCATAAGAATAATAAGAATATAATATAATAAGAATAATAATAATGGCTTCAACTTCAAATGTTGTAATTGATAATAATCAAAACATGATTCACAGCCATCAATTTAGTTGGCACATTTTACTCAATCCTCTTGACATGGATTATCAATGTCAATTTGACTTCCAAAGAAACACAATATACATTCACACAGTTGCCTATGGGATAATTTAACAATACTGTCCTTGTGCATGGTCTTCATCAGAATGATTTAGAGTTTTATATGCATCCACTGCAATTTTTGGCATTGTTTTGACTATATTACTTAAGGGAACCTCCAAAGAGATGGAATAAAGAGAACTCATAACTTTTATAACATGTGGGGCTTTTCATGCCCTGGAGGCAACACAGACTGTTCTCTATTATTTAGGCCTATTTATACCATTACATGAGAGGCCACTTTTGGAGGGAAAGTCTTCCTCAAAGCTTAGCCCTATGGCTGCTACACCTAAACAGGGAAAGACTGCCTAATCACCACCTCTCCCAAAATGGGATACCCCTTGGGACGAACAGTCTGTCATGGGGAGAGTTTTGGGATGGTAATACCTGCATTTGTATTCATGTAGCCTGTTGGAGGACCATAGCACACTCACCACCCTGCCTCAAATCTCARTACTAGAGAACTGCATCCTTGGTCCACCCTGTTAGCAGAATTTGTTCCAGCCAGCTTGGTTCCAAGAGATACCCCAAAAATGGACTGGCAGAGCTTCACATTCCTACTGATTCACCAACAGTGGTCAAAACTACCACATTCCTTTTAATCTCAAGACAAGGTCTCTTGGAATACCTTAATATCACATGTACTTTCTACCTAAATGTCACTATATCCTGGGAGCTCATTTCAGTACTATTGAAGAGATTTAGAAAACAACAACAGGTCTGGGCTTTGGATGTAGCTCAGTCCACAGAATGCTTGCCTAGCATATACAAGTCCCTGACAGTTTCTAGTTCTCTGCCCCCTCTCAGTTTCGCAGTGTGGTTGATCCAAGTATTTATTTTGTACAAACTTCCTATGGAAGTTTGAACCTCAGCTCCTAGCTCCCATTCTCTTCTGAGTTATAGTTCTCTGTAAGAAATGTGTTATTGGCACACTACTGCACATGTTGGCATACATTAATTACCTACCTAATTCGGTGTGGGGAAGGACTGCATCCACATTCATTCCCTAGATAAAACATTTTACATTTTTTAATTTTTCTAGCATTCCACCAAACCCTGTATGTTGGCAGCCTGATCACAGATGAATGCTAAAATCTGAATTCCCAATAATTGAAATAAAATTAATACTTCTTATGGTTGATATTCATATCCAGAACAAACTGCCCCTAGTACACGGAATACCTAAGTTTTGGGCATCYAAAAGCTGGTTAATGAACCCAAGACAGGAATTGGAGATCATGGTTCCAAATACTCGCAGTGGAGTGATCTATGTCACAGAGATGAATATAAATTCCCATCTAGTAAATATCAGTCATATTAGGAAATATATGTCTAGTGAATATCTAGTGATTATCAGTCATATTAGGAAATCATCTGTCCCATGATTTTGGCTTGTTACAAACAAAATTCTCAACACCCCACGTGAGAAACACCCATGATCAAACAGACCCTAGACATGTGTCTGACACCTGCCCTAGGAGAAGATGAACAGACAGCTGCAGTGACTGTTCCAAGTTCCTCTCCCAAACCAAAGCCCAAAAGATTTCTCTCCCCTGATATGTTCACCTTGGCTTAGGGTCTTAGTTTTTATTGCAGAATGGCTGCGGTGGCTAATCACCAGTCCCTAAGGCTTGTCCTTAGTTGCAATGCTGTGTGCCAGCACTTCTTACATTGTACCACTGAGTCATAAGACAGAATATTGAAGTTCCCTCCTCAATTTTCTCCAGCCATCTTACCATCACTAGAAGAGCCTGCCTTCCACAACAAATAGCACATGTGGTAACAGTGCCCAATTATGTTCCACCACATAATCTAGTTATTTTTTCTCCAAGAATGCCCTTCTTAATGTAACCAAATTAAACCCTCTCATCTAGACACACTTTGTTCAAACATTCCAACATTKCTGAGAAGGACTCCATAAAACATCCCTTCCATTGATATACTGTAATGGCCAAAATGCCAACTATCAGTGGAGACCACAGGTTTATCTAGGCTGGGGGCAACAAAGGCCTTTTCACACTTGTAAAGATATGCTGGATGTAAGATAGAACAGTACTCCAGCAACCAACAGAACCCTGGCCATAGAGGTCCCTGATGGAGATGACTTTGTACCTGGAAATTGTGCCCCACACAATGGTCCTAGGCATATAAACTCATATCACCTTAAGGATCCTGGCAGACACCTTACAACTGTCCCCTAGAGTAAGCCTCACACATCATCAGTGGTGGATCATACAGATTTGCTTCAGGAACTGTGCCAGTGCTTGGACCTATGGAAGAAAGAATCCTTGGATTATTACCTATCTAAAAT